CAATCAAAGTCAGGGATTGCTACCAGTTAGTTTCCCTGACAACGCCGCTTTGGCTGTTGTCTAATTGGCAGTTGATTACACCATTGGGAATATTGCATATTTCGACAGTCTTTTGTCACCAGCAGCTAAAAATAGCCGATAATTTTCACAGTTGATCTTTGTGATTATAGAAGCTTTTCTTCACACTGAAGTAAAAATGCCCATTGGTTTCCCCAACAGACACTGTACACTGTTTTATGTATACTGTCACTTCCCCATTCTTTTATATCTTAATGAAACTTGGTGTAGACAAAGACCCTGTGCTAAAGCAGTACGTGTATATTTTACCACAAACCCTGATGTCATATTGACCATGATATGTCACATCCTATCAGTGTAAAAACAATTTGAGTATCTAAAAAACTATTTGCGGTAACTTCAGGGGCGGGATCCAGGATTTTCCAAAGGGTGAAGGGCGTGATTTTTTTAAACCTGTAGGAGAAGTTTTGTCGTGATACACCAACGTGAGAAGCTACGGCGTGGGGTTCGGGGCCGACTAAATGGTCCCGAAATTGTGAACTTTAGAAGCTCTTTGGTGCCTTTTAGAGCAAATCTTGGTATCTTTGAGGTAGATTTTTCCTCAAAATTCAGAGCAGATAGATAACATTTTTTTTTTAATAAAAATATAATAAATATTTCACAAACATATCAATTTTCTGAACTGGAAAAGTTCGGATGAAAAGTAAGTTTCAAATTAAAACAAATTAAGCAAAAACAAAAAAATTCTGCTTCGTATTACATGACCTTCCAAAATTAGGGTCGTTAGGTCGGAATTTTTTTTTATTTCGCCAAAATATGTTTTGTGCTGATTGAATTAATGGAGCATACAAGGAATCATGCATAATTTGTGCCTTAATAATGTTCATTCGCGCCACAAAAGTAATCGAGACTGTCCATCAAAAGTGATAAAAACTTGCCTCACCTAATATGAAAAACCTGTATTTAAGGTGGATGATTCTTAAAAATAATGGAGAATTGAAGTCCTCCACGCCACTATGCTCAACGTTAGTCACCGTCAGCCGCCAGCCAGCAGTGGCCATATATCGCCTCGCGCACACGGCGCACTATCAGTGTGCATACCTGCACTGTGTATTTGTAGCGGACTCGGCAACGAACCCACGTGCTGTTGCCGAACATTTTTCAGAAACACGCTAACAGTGTATCAAGTACGTATGAGCGGAACAATCTCGTTATAAATATATTTTAATGGAAAATACATACACAGAAAAGAGAGATCACGTTCTGGGAATTAATTGGAATAAATTCTCCTTCCTCATCGATGTTTATTAATTATTTGGTATTTTCTAAGATCCAAATTCGTCCTGTCACGTTATGTAGGTCGTAGTCACTGGTTCCAGTTCTACCAGTGAATGGTGATGGCACTGCACTGCACTGCCATGCTATGCCGCGTGGAACATCGTATACGCGTACAGCGGCATGGCTTTGGTGCATTTTGATCACAAATGCGTCAATAGTTTAGGCTTTTTCGTCAAGATTTAGCATGTCAAGATGAAATATTTTTTTTTAACGATTATAGTGCCATATGTAATTCCAGCGTATCGGGCCGATACGCACGCATAACCCAATGTGTGTCTATAAATGGCTTAAACTCAAACTCTAGTTTTCTTACACATGGAGTACCCCAAGGCTCAATTTTAGGCTCTTTGCTTTTTATAATATATATTAATGATTTTACAAAGTCTTCTAACTTTCTCTCCTTTATATTGTTTGCTGATGACTCTGTTTTATTCTTTTCCCATAGCAACCTCAATTACCTCACTGACACTGTTAACACCGAACATATATCTGTTTCGAGTTGGTTCAGATTTAATAAATTATCCTTAAATATTTCCAAAACTACCTTCATGTTGTTCAACTACCCTGTAATATTATGATTGTTGATTCTGTAATTATCAAAACTGATTGTTGTAAATGTTTGGGTTTGTTTATTGACTCAGGGCTAACATGGAAAAATCATGTTGATCATTTATGTAAAATCATTGCAAGAAACGTAGGTGTATTAACAAAATCAAGCATCTTTTACCTGTAAATGTTTTGGAATTTCTTAATAACACCCTAATTGTCTCTCATCTTAACTATGGTTTACTTGCTTGGGGTAGTAGTTCTGCTACAAGACTACTTCTATAACAGAAAAGAGCCTTGCGTGTAATTAATTTTGCCGACTTCTATGAACACACTTATCCCCTTTTTATAAAACATAAAACTTTAAAACTTAATGATATGTATAACGTTCAGCTTGGGTCTTTAATGTATCAATCTTCTCGCAATACTTTACCATCTTCCATTAATAGTATTTTTAGCCAGAAGTGAATTTCATTCTCATTGGACTCACCAAGCTTCTAATTTTTATATTCTATTTAGTCGTACCTCTCTTGCTCAAAATACTGTTGAATACAAGGGATCCAAGCTGTGGAATTCGTTCTCTACACAACTTCAAGCTTCTACCAATCTTTCCACTTATAAACGCCTATTTAAATCAATCTTAATTCAAACTTATTATTAATTCATGCTAGTAGATATATGTTGTTACATGTAGATTGTAGAATATCCATGATTTTATTGCTCATTGCTGACCTGACTAGTTAAAATGATCTGTATTGTATTGTTTGTTTGTCTGTTGTTTACGTCTGAATGTGTATTGTATTAAGGTATGTTGCTTTTCTATGTAATTACTTTAAATACAGCATGCTCATTGAGCCCTACCTCGTGTGACTGACCATTCAATAGTGTTCATTGTAAGTTACTTCCTTTCCCTTGGTTTGGACTTAATGAGCATGCCTGTCTGGGGCCCATGCTTAAAAGCTCTACTTCTTAATGGGCCCCTCTGCAGTGTCTCTAAAATATCAGTTTTGTTGTATTATTTGTAATTCTTTTCTGCTATGCAATTATTTTATGTCATTTATAGATTTGATGCTGTGGAAATAAATGAACCTTGAACCATGAACCACGTGTGTACGTGGGGAGAACATCTTAATGTTTTATCTAAAGGAAAGGGGGGGCATGCACCCTCAACTCCCCCCTCCCCTCCCTGGATCCGTCCCTGAACTTACAATTCTGTCACAAGTACAATGTAAAAGCCACCTCAAATAACTGCGTCATGCCATAATTTGTTGAGCAATCCACAGACATACGTACTGAGAAACTTTCTTAAAATTTTCGTGACTGAAATGTTGCGCAACGTACACAATAAATGGTGGCCCGAGTGTTCTTTGTCATCGCATAAGGTTACATGAAATCGGCTGCAGGAATGAGATTGTCAAATAAAAAAGTCTGAACATTGAAAGGTGTGAAAGATGCGTATCTGTCTATGCATGTTCATGAAGGACCAAATATAACTGTGTGAACTTGAATTATACTGGGTTAGTCAAAAAGAAAGTGACCTAGATTAATGATTTTGTATTTTAAAACCAATTTAATTGGACACACTAATGAAGTACGTTTTAAAAGAGCATTTTTTTATATAAAAAGACAAAGGCAAAAGTTATGGTCCAGCCAAAATGACAAAACATAATGAAAAAATTGCCACACTGAAATTAAGTAAGATTGATTGATAAGATTGACCTGAAAAGATGACACAGCCACCAGGAATAAGATATTGCACGAAGTACACAATAAACCCAGACATAGTATGATAGTGCATAAAGCACACTAGACCCAGACATATTATGAAAATCAAGAATTTAATAAGCATGGTCTTGTATACTCATCTGAAAAGGTGGGTATATTAAAATAGCTTTTAAAAAATAGCAAATGTGAAGTTACAGGCCCCGTACTACACTAGTTACAATGTTAGTGACGTTAAAAATAATAATATGACATGTTTCCTTAAAAAAACTGTGATAAAAATCACACAACGTAACGTGAAAAGATGGTTATCGGCGCAATGTACTGTGAAAAAGCAGAACCGTGTTCATGTCGCTACGCAATGCATCAGCTGAAAATGCGTGGAAAAATGTCTGGTGGATATTATGCCGGATCCGGTTTTCTTCAAGTAGGCCTATGGGTGCACACCAGTAAATAGACCAAATATCCGTCCGCCGAGCTCATGAATACAAGTTATACACTCAAATTCGTCTATATTAGAGAGTTCTGATAGCCATGGAATTGGGAGATTGAAAAGATATGGCAATACACCTCTGGCCCGGACTTTTTTTAGCCATGTTGTGGAGGGATCCCTTTTTGAGATGGCTACTTTTTCACTTTGGGAAATATCATTAATTTTAGGGGTCGTCTTCTTTGGATGAGAATGTCTCGAAAAGTCATCGGTCAACCACACAAAAATTAAAAATAAAATGAAATATGACATGTTGATTATCAGTTTTCTGTGCAGCCTGAACACATGTGAGAGTTTTGAGTATTTTTAACAGAATTTTGAAGTATGAGCATTTACACTGTTGTCTATTGGAATTTATTTGATTGGGTGCACCCCTATACGATGTTAAGCCGGGAAATCTTACAGCGCCCTCCTTGACGCATAATTATAGACAAAGACTTTTCCGCAACTATGCAAAAAAGCAAAAACCAAAAAAAAAAAAAAAAAAATGGGAAGAAAAACAATGGCTTTCAGTTGATGGCGGAAAAGCCAATCTGCAAAGTTGGCGGAAAAGCCTGAATACGAAAAGTAATTGCATTTTAAGAAGTTCGAATCATGGGAAAAACTCCATTGCACGGTCTTTTAAAAGTCTATTCGATAAGATGAAGCTCGACTTTGATTCTGATATAGAGACTAACACTATAGTTACGTGGCCTCCTAATTTGCATACGGATCGCAAAACGCCAGCAAACAGATCATTTTAGAAATCTAGTTTTGCAATGAAATGATTGCAATAAAAAAACTCAAGTTAGTAATTTGGCACAACCACCACATTTCTGAGATTTCCCTGTAAGACATCTTGCTATAGTTGCACTTTAAACAGATTTTTTGGAGTCGAATTACTTACCTTGTTTACCACGGCACTGGGCTCTGAAAGACGCGAAAGCCTTGTTACGAAGTGCGGTCAGATCATCACCGGGTGCAGCCTGGACCATGGCACTACACGTCTTCCCTCGTACAGGTAGAATAAAGAAGGAACTAAAAAGCCCCAGAGTCCAATTGTAGACCCACATTTTACGCGGGTTTCTCATAACCAGCCAGCAGGTCTTCACTTTGATATCTGCGATCAAAACGGGCAGAGCACCACTCCCTGGCACGATGAGCCTTATGTTTTGAATATCGCTTGCTGTCGTCACATAGTTTCCACGGTAACCGTAACAATGGTTATTGTTTGGAGTTGGTTCATCGACGATCATGACAGAGCGAAACCCAATGTCATGTGACGCTCGTTTTTTTTTTCGTTTTTTTTTCCCCTGGAAGAAATATTTTATTCACAACCTCAAAGCAACATCTCAACTATACAAAAACTACTTAAGAAACCAAGGCAATGCCGCAAAATATCTTTTCCTATAATACATTTGGAATACAGAGTAAGTTTTGACACAGTACTTCAAAGGAGTCTCATTTTGTATGACATTTTGCAGTAGATCCATTTGTAATCAAAATGTACTTTTCCAAACTAAAATAACGTTTAGCATTAAGATTCATTAGTGCAAGAGATGATCTGGTATCGTTCATCTTCATCTTATAAATGTGAAAACGACACAAAATAAAGATCAGGTTGAGAGCAATCCACGATTTTTTTTACTTATGCCGAAAAGTGTAGCCTCATCGTCTAAGTGTATGTTTATATTAAGAGCCCTCTCAAACCACTCAATATAACCTGGGTCCAAACACAGATGAAATCTCAAAATAGATCTCACCTACAAAATAGATGAACAAGCGTTTCGCTCTCTAAGATATAAAATATCAATGTAACGAACCGGATAGGGCGCTTGCGCGCTATGCACGTCAAGTCACGTGCAAACATGCGTACGAACATTTTTTTTCTTGCGCGATGCCTGTACGATATGGATTTGGGTAGCCTCGTTTTTCGCCCCAAAAGAACCTGTATCTTCGGTTGTAAAGGGACGAAAGAGGTACGTACATTTAATACAAATCCTTGCTAAATAACGCAACGTCGAAACCTTGTGTTTGAAAGGATTGATTCTTCAAAAAAACAACTTTGAACATTTTAAACATGGCGTCGCGCGTTAGATACATCGACTGCAGTCCTAGTTTAAATATGCCATTTTTTGACACATTCAAATGAGACAATACCAGTGGTTTAGATCGCGCAAGGCATGATGGTAAACAACATGGCGCAGCAAGATCGTTCCCATGAAAACGAGGTTGCCCAGCAGGCTTCAGTTTGCAATTCAGTACAGCCTATGCTTGCACTCCAGTAAATAGGCCAAGCCGAGCTCATGAATAAAAGTTGTACCCTCAAAATATTCTATATTAGATCTAGAGAGTTTTGAGAGCAATGAAATTGGGGAATTGAAGAGATATGACAATGCACCTCTTGCCCGGACTCTGGGCTTCTAATTCTGAGCATTGTGGATGCATTTGGGCCCGGAAGTGGCGCTATTTAGACATGTTGTAAAGGGATCGTTTTTCAAGCCGTACTAAAGATGTACTACATTTCGAGTTTTCCATTTGTTTGTGCACAAACGTGGATCCGCCCATCAGGCTTCACTTTGTACAGCGAGTTAGTTATTAAGTTTAGTTATTCATTGTATTTCACTTGTATAGTTCGCTGAAGCGCAAAGCACAGAGTACGCATAACGCTCGGTGTAATCCGTCTGTGATACGCACCAATGGCGGCGATTTCAAGTCAGGATTTGGAGAGAAAGTGGTGTCAAATGATGCATTTCCACGGGGAAGGCGAGGGGGCCGGGGGGGGGGGTTGATTGCCATGTAGGCACAAAAACTGAACATTAAAGTCCTGGGAGTTCTTATACTTTATTCTTTAAAAAGTGCACCAGACGCGTCAAGCAAAGGCTTGTACAAAAATCTTCGTTTTTTTATCCCATATTTTTGCTCGTTAGCATGATTTCCCCTCTGGAAAAAGGTAAGGGGCCTGGTTGACAGGGATAGTCGAAGTTTACCCAAGTAGTGTCGAGCCCCATCACCATGCGTTTCTTTGGATTGCTTCAAGACATTTCATGCGAAGTAGCAACATGGAAGAGGCGCCGTCGTGAGCGTTCTCATTTGGATGGGAACCACCTTGACGAGGGCACAGTGCGATGTTACAACGCGATACAAGTCGCGAGGGACAACGTGATGCACGACACAAAGTACGACGCGACGCACGACACGACTTACGACGCCAAGAATAACGTTAAGCAAGATGCGCAACAAAAGGGGCAACGTTCGGGCATAAAATCTGCGAGACGGTACGGCGCAATGTACGGGAGCGGCGGTGCGACACGACGGCACGACGCAACGGAGACGTCGTGCCAACGCGTCGTGTACTCACGTCGCATGTATGTTGAAGACACGGTGTGTCGTCAAAAATTCCCCTCTCGTTGCCAGTTGCAGCGCACCGTCGTGCTTCGCGCCGTGCGTCGCCTTTTGCGACGGATGGAGACGTTGCTGATTTAAGCAACTTTTTCCTCTGGGGTCAACCCCACCTCGCTGGCTGTTGACGACTATAGCCGCGGCTTGAAGAAAGGCTATGTGAAGGGAGACGGCTAGAGCCGCGTTTCATTCATCATGCACATGCGGGTGCTACAAGATTGTATTTTATAGAAACAGAAAGTTCGGTGAACACTTATTAGTCATGAAAAGCGAAATTATTCAGCAAAACCACTTATTAATCTTAGTTGAATAGTTGGGTATTTTTTCGAGCACGGCACACGGGCTCACCAGGGCGGATCCCCTCTCCTCCCCCCCCCCCCCCCCCAAACGAACCCATTTATTTTTTAAGTGACTTCGCAATAAAGGCAGGCACTGCGTACACAACCATTAGCGTGTTAAAGTGGCCAGAAATTGCCTCAGATCGCACCACAGAGCATCTGGATTCCCTCCAAAATTAGGGGCCCTTATACGCGGCCCACGCCGTATTTGTTTTGACCCACTCTTTGGGGGCCGAACCAATTTTTTTTTGCCGCCCCCCCCCCCCCCAAATTGTGTTCTGGATCCGCCCTTGCAGTGTACGTGCTCGTTGTTCATGGATACGCTCAGTTGATCACACTGGGCTTTCCGTATGCATTATTGTGCACAGCGTATTACACGCATGCGTCCTCAGTGAAAACCGTCGGACAGGTGTCACGGTCTCACTTCTCCAGCGTGCTAGCTTCTCCGAGAGGGAAATTTCGCTTCAACACGCACGCGAAAAATTGCGCAGTAGTGTACATTTTCGCCAATTGTATTGTGCGCAGTAGTGTACATTTTCGCCAACTTTATTTGTGTGCTGAGTCTGGTGTTGTACTGGTGCTCGTAAGATCTTGGGATATCTGTATGTTAAAATAAAATTGGGCCCCGATGTTTACATATGGAAATGAGGGGAAAATAACATAATTTTAATAAGAAATCACTTTGAACCTTTACTCATTCATCCACCAATCACATCCCAAAGATAATCAGATGTAAATATTCATGCATTTCCAACTGACACGATTCAGACGACTGAGTGCGCACTTACTTCGCGCATGCACAGACGTGGAACACAGGGTCATTATCTTTTTTCTGCAAAAGTTGTCACAAATTTCACAACACCATCAACGGTTGGAGCTCTTCCATCAACAATTGTAATGTGAAAGACCCTCTGGCGAAGATCCCAGGGCAATTTCTCCACAATATGTGAATGGTTTTTGCTATTGTTCAGTTCGCCTAGCTTGCCCATATAGTGTCCAGTGTCGCTCGACAATTCCTCAGTCATCGGAGTAATCCAGCAATGACTTGTCTCGGATGTCAGGCCGGTTGTTGAGTTTATTGACCCATGCCACCAGTGATGTCGTACTCATTCCCGAATCGGTCATTGAGTAGCTTTGTTGAAGAGCATAACCGTTTGCACAGGTTGATGTAACCGTCTAACCTGGTAATTATCCCTAATAAGGTGGTTTTATCCAAAGGTATGAGTTAAACCAAGGTTTGTGCAAAGAAAAAAACCTAACTGATATGAAAATGGCTACTATGAACAGCGTCACCAACGGTGTCTAAAATCTCTCGGAGGCGGCAGGACCTAAACAATACAGATTCTGCTCTTTTCATAACAACAATCCCCATTTTCACGCTCTTATATATCATAAATCGCCTCAATATCCTTTGACAGAAGTAAAACAAAATTAATCACTATCTTTGCTCAGCTGTCCTAATTTCAAAGAAAGATGATGACAAAATTTGATGGAAATGTTCACTGTGTAAAACGATGACAAGTATAATGGTGGAAAGGAGTAGCGCCCTCTAAAGCTTGAACGCAATGTCTACCATATTAATGAATGGTACACTGAGAGATAATTCTGGCGACTGTAGACTTCATTGGATGCCATTCAATGCCTAGGTAAGAAGAGATGTTAATTAAGTATCGATTTGGCATCATAGACTCCTTGGGTATAAAATGTGTGTGTTCCTCCGGTAGACCCCAGCATTCTTGTAATGAGTCCGTGAATACTGTGACTCAACTTGAGGCTTTGTAAGAACACAGTGACTTAAGTCGGGTGGAGTCGTTCAAAAACAGGCACTTGAGTGACTCAAATTCGGGTCGAGTTGTTCAGAAATAATGGCAGCTACTGAATTTGAGTAGTTCTGAGGAGTAATTCCAGTAAAGTTTAGTGTTCTTAGGTAGTGACTCAAGTTGAGTCGTTCTAAGTAAGTGATTACATTTAAATAGTTCTTAGGCATTGACTCAAGCTAAGTCATTCTAAGGCAGTGGCATGAGTCACATTGACTCATTCTAAAGAAGTGAATGGTTGAGTTTAGTTATAAGGCAGTGACTCGAATCAAATTAAGTACATCGAAGGCAGTAACTCGAGTCAAGTCTTTAACCTTCGAGCTTCAAGCCCAAAAACTTTACGCGGAATGGCCACGTGGAGAATTTTATCACCACACGTGTTTCTAGGTCAATAACCCCCGCATGCCTGGATATGCACAAGATATAGGTCATTCACAT